CCCAGTTCCTTGAGCCAAGGGTCAATCGGAAACAACCTCTCTACCTTTATAGGGTAGGGATAAGGTCTGCATATACACTACCCTCCCCAGACACCACTTATGGGATTAAACTGGGTTTGTTATTGTTGTTTTATAGCCCCGATCATAGCCACTTTTGCTACTAACCCCGTGAATTATTTTTCTGCACATATAATCCATCTGACTCCTTAAAAGTTAGCAGGGAACCTGTTTAGTTTCCATTCGTGATGGCTTTAAAATATAAAGGTAAAAAGGCATTCAACATATTTTTTATTTACTTCTACTTCCTACCAAACTCCACCAAGCAGCATTAGTTCTAAACCTTATGCTTTTATTTTTCTTCTTTTCTTCTCTTATTTATTTCCGTTTCCTGATTCCCACAAGACGTTCCAATATCTCTCTTTTCATTTTCTCTCTCCTTATTTTCTTCTTCCTTGCACCCTTTCTTTCATGAATTTCTCCTATTAACTTCACCTTCACTGGGGCAAGGACTCCTCTCCATTTCCAAATCTTCCAGCTTTCCATAGAACTTTGACATGTAACGAATGTTTTACCTATGGTTAAAATTTCATTAAAACCCGCTTACACAGTTTAAAAGAAAGCACTCTACAAAAGGCATTTAATGTTGCACCTCCATTTTTTTCCATAAAGGAAACTAAAGAAAGAAAGAAAGAAAGAAAGAAAGAAAGAAAGAAGGAAAATGTTGCTCTCTAACGGGGCTTTCGCAAAGCTGGCCCGGTCACCACGGTTATCAAAAAATAAAAATAAAATAACGGGGCTTTCAAGTTTTTATACAGATTCTTTCAGCGATCAAGCATAAGGAAAACTACGTAAGTTCTTATTATTCTTTCTCAATAATGATGCAGCAATTTTAGCATAAACTTTGAATATAAGGAAACCTAGTATGGGTTTAGAGAAGAGTATAAGGCTATAAGCTAAGTTGGATTCTGACGTAGTGAAAGGCAGCATTTTGGGCTTTAGATCAACAATTTTCTGCCCTTATTTAATCTCAACCATATAAGGTGATGATGATGCAAAAAAGATATTCTTTACGAATTGGACAATCTCCAGTTTTCAAAAATCTCTCTCTCTCTCTCTCTCTCTCTCTCTCTCTCTCTCTCTCTTCTCAGTTTTATTTCCCACTTTTTCTTCGCAACCAACGCAGCCTTTGTTGTGCAGCAGTTCAATCTCTAAATTGAGTTTAGCTGGAAGCAAGAAGCTAAAAAGCAACGTTTGATGATTAATTCATGGAGACAAGTTTGGAGCTTTTAACACAAGGACAGCTATCAATTGGACAACCTTTTTTTTGGCTGTATTTTGGGAGCACCCAATGATGTTAAAATATGAACGCATGAAACACAAAAGAATTCCATTTTTTTCACCAAAAAAAAAAATACAACAGAAAGTGGCATGGAAACTACATATATATGGTTCTAGAAACGTGACTGCTCAGATTTGGAAAACAAATAAACCTATAAACCAGAATGATTTGTTGCAGAAGTCAAACTTACGACTTTGGCACCATTAGTAACATGTCTACTAGGAGTCTCATCTGCTCCCGAAGTATCATCAGTATGTGCGTCAGCGCAACGTATTTCAGCAGCATGATTCTGATTGGAGGAAGCTGATTCTTCTGCACCAACGGCATTATTTTCAATCCCTTTGGTCTGTTTATTCTTCTTTTTCTTGTTCTTCCTCTTCTTCTTCTCTTCTTCCATTTGTGCGGGGGTTCAACAATCAAAACTCAAATACAAACGGAACCGACAACCTACATAAACCATAAAGAGATTTAATCATGTACCACAATTCCAATTAGACACAAAAAGATCTAATCATGTACCACAGTTCCGATTAGACATACAAAATAAACATGCATTTAAAGTCTCTTCCTTGTTAGAACTTGTGAAGCATTGCCCAGAATCAATCAATAAAGTATACAACTAGAGCTGCTAAGGCATTTTTGGAACCTCAAATTCAAATCAAGTCATGTTTCAAATCGACCATAATATAACATGTAATTTCCTCGATAAACAAATAAAAAAGAACTTTGCGTGAAGACAGCTAAAAAAATTAATTGCAACATTTAGAATAAGAATAAACTTGAATTCGACATGGTAAAATGAAAAGATGCATATAAAGTCTATCCCTTGTAACACTTGTGAAGCACTGTCCAGAATCAACCTGGAGCTTCAGAAAAAATTAATAGACTATATCTTTAAAGCTAAGGCATTTTCTAGATATAAAACTTCAAATGCACCAGAAGACGAACCACAAAAATTAGATCAGAAACGTAGTTTCCTCCATATGAACCATAAAATTCACCAAAAAAAAATGGAGAACATTGCATCTTTACGGCTTAAAATGTTAAAAAAAGAAACTTGCACATTCCAGAATCAATTAGTAAAGAACAAATTAGAACTAAGGCATTTTCCGGAACCTCAATTTCAGATCAACTTCAAAATCGACCAGCAAAAAAATATGAAACTTCAATGTACGACAACACAAACATTAATTTCTCTTCTAACGTATAAAAAACATCAATTTTCCTCTGTATGAACACATAGAATACATAAAAAAAAAAAAAAAAAAG